CAGCAGGAAAACTGATAATCGGACTGAAGTGCCACTTGTTTCACTTCATTCATTCTTCATCGCTGCTCATCTGACCTTGGGTGGCTTGGATTCTTTATATAAATGGATCTTAGAAACTAAGAAGTGTGGCTACTTCCCTATTGTACTGACTTAACTCCTCCACAAACCACCAAACAACAGGTGTTTAATGTCCACCTCAATGGGGAGATTTAAATTCAGCAGTTACAGTTAAACCTGTAATTTACATGAGCTGACGACTTTGATGTCACCTTTTCTGTGAATATGCTGTTGTGCTGCTTATATTTTAAACAGTCATTATCTAGTGGGTTGCATTTTGTTTGCACCCGCAATCACGCATTTAAATGCACAATGGAAGATAAGTAATGATGAAAAACCTCTGAAATTTCTATTATAATTGTGTCATCTCAGACTGTTGCTCAGTCGCTGTAGGATTTCTCAGAGGAAAGATATCCAAAATATTGTTTTTTACAGTCAAACACAAAAAGAACCAAAGATTATTAAATGTCTTTGAGACTGATCTATTCCCTTTATGTAGTGAGTTTACTCAGTGATCAGTTTCATTCAGATGTACAGTACATACAGTTTCACACTGTCTGTCCTGCGTTTGGCTCTTTGGAGGCGTGATGATGATGATGATACAACAAAGTCACTTGCTCAGACTTGCCAGCAGGAGACAAGAACAACCTGTGGAACTGTTCACAACAGTTGCATGAAGCAGGAATTGGGTGTCACAAATGATGACTCACAGGGAGGCCGCTTCAGGAAAAAAAACTCCCTGTGACTGACTGCATACGTTACTTAATCTACACACACACCCAGATACAAGACGCAACCAAACAATGGTGCAGATATCTTGTTCTTCGTGTCCCTTTTTATTAGCTCAAACTAAATAATGTATTTTAATCTTCTTTGTTTTTTGCACTAGTGGACAGAATTTTGCACCAAGGGAAGGGACAGAGGCAGGCAGGGTGTTGTCCACTATCAAGCGGACTTCCCAAAATTCTGAACTACCTCTGAGTATTTCTGATGATTAAACTGACAGTTTCTCAATCTGAAAATGCAGAGTGGAAAAGTGTCCGTAAATATAATCATGTGTATAAGTGTGTACTTGCATGTCAGGGCATTTAGGGGTGAGGTTTTGTCTTTCCTGTGTGCTACAGCCAGTGGGAGGACCAGCGTCATTTAGCCAAAGTGTTATTTAGGACAAGCAAACTTGGACTGACTTGTGAACTGCTTTGGGGCTGATAGTGGAGATTTACTGGAACTCTAAAGTTACTCTTTCACTGTATGGAAATATTTCCTCCTGTTACGCCTTATGGGGAGGGTTGGTGGCTGATAACTGAAAAAAGTACTGCTACCAGAAAACTTACATCCTGTAATTATCATTTGCTGTGAATAATTGACTGTGATTTTCATTTATTGCAAATACAAACATTAGCTTTTGAGACCTGAACTTCTACACTTTTATCTTGAGCCAGGTCAAAATGATTTCAATAAAATGTATGTATTTATTTATTTAAAATGGTTGACATCCTACTTATGCTCAACAAAATGTTTCAGTTTATGCAACTGACCCTGCAGAGATTTTATGCTTTCACTCATTTCACTTAAGAAAGTAGATGTTACTCTACATAATGAGTCGGTTTCTCAAGAAACTCGGTAACAACTAACTAGGCAGATTGCAGCGTCAATTCGTGAATGTATATGTTTTAATGAGATGCTCCTTTATAATATTAAGATAAAGGGAAAAGAAGAAAACTCATCAACTCTCTAATATAGTTTGTTGCTAAATGTGGATGGGAAAACAGAAGTGCAGCACAAGAACAGCTGTATCCCCACCACAGTTTAAATGATTCCACCATGATATTTCACCCACATTTGATGTAAGATTACAATGAAATATGATTTCTTGGTTCAAATGAGGTTATTTGGATTTGTAGGTATGCTGCTTGAGAGACTCATGCTTGCAACACAATCACAATGGTCTTGTAAACCTTTTCTTTTCACTGATATAGTTCAAAAAGTACAAGGTGGATAAAAATAAATGTGAAATTGAGCATTACTGTCTCACTTTATGTACATGTCACAGCACTGGACGCACAGAGCATTTGATAAGGTCCTGTGCTGCTAATCCTCGAGTGTTCATCAAAGCCTCTTTAAATGTCTGTTATTATCTTGATTGTCGTCAACATGAACTCTGTCCCTGCACAGAGGAGGGGAGTGGCTACATGTCTCAAACAGGTTTATGGCTGCCTGTGAGCAAGTTTCAAGCCGGACCATTTGCATGTCTAAACTGGCATCCACACCCTCTATCGGCAGACTGCTTACCATGTTAAAACACCTCCCTGTCTTTCTCTCTTTCGGCAGGCTAGCTTCTCCACATGTAAAACAAGCTGAACATACATAAACCAAGGAGGAACATTCGGGGAGGAGTACAGAGGATTTTCACAAAGCTCACAATCTGAATGTAAGTTACTCTTGTTGAGCATGAGATAATGATGTGACAAACTGTGTATGTTTTTGAAGCCTCTAACAAGACGCAAGCAGCTCTGTGAGAATATCAAATGCCAGCGGTGATGTAAACAAAAGTTTCATTACAACAAAGAGCAGAGGATCGCTGTACACGGTCATTCAGTTGTTGTGAAAGCCTCATTTTCTGCATGCATGGATTTAAGTTGAAAGCAAAACTTTCACACAAACTTTACTCTACTAGGTTAATAGAAGTACAGTGTATGAAATCTGAGTCCACCTGTGTATTTGCTCTCTAGCTGTGACATACCGTCATTACCAATATGAGAAGCTTGTGTTTTGAAAATGTAATCTGACTGCAACAGGTTTTTTTTTCCATCCAGTGACATTTTTAATGTTGAATATCACAGAATATTCTCCACAGTCCCTCATAATATTCATTGAGAGAAGGACTGCAATTAACATCTGCAGATTATATTTTTCCCCTTACTCGATTTTTTGGGTGTGTGAAATATTGTGTCATTTACTTGTTTTATGATTTAAAAGTCAACACGTTTGAAGGGATTTGCATCATATAAAGGATTACTATAAAAATACATTTTAAAAAAATCAGATTTTATTCCACACTAGTCAAGTCAAAGTGTTTATTTGTCATATGCACAGTTAGGAAACGTGTTTCCCTGTACAATGAAATTCTTACTTTGCCGTCCACATGAATGCCACATGAATGAAGTAGATAAATAAGTAACACAAAATCTAAGGTACTTTAAGCAGCAAATGCAGCAATATAATAAAAATATACAAGAATATAATGAGAGTGTATGTTGCATGGGAGCAGCATGTGCACTAATGCAATTACCGAAACACAAGCTGTTTACAATTAAAGCACAAACATAAGGCATTTATATTTTACCTCAACTCTGAGGTGCACTACAGGTCCAGTAATGTCATTTCCCTCTTGGGCATGTGAGTGCAAGTTATCCTTTAATTCCCGTCTGTGAGCATGTTCAGCTTCCGATAGTGATGAGTCAGTTCTCATGATGTGGCTTGTTGGAAACAAATCACATTATTGTTTTAACTATAGAAGTAACAGGTATATTTGTGTATTAGTTACTGCTGGCCAAAGAAGTTCAAGAACGGAAGGAACTCTTACAGATAAAAATAACTGGAGTATGCACTGCTGTGCTTTTGAACCAAACATACTTGAAAATGCAGACCTGATTTACTAGTGTGGTGCAACATAAACGCACTGGAACCTTTAGAACAATGTACACAACATCCTGTTTAGCTACTAAAACATATGAACAAAACCACTAACTGTTAAATTAGCAAATAGCTCCAAAAGAACTTTGTTGAATAATTTGTTTATTTAGATTCTATGTCATTTATCAGCCTTTGACCAGAATACGTTCAATGTGCAGACAGATATCTAAACAGGAGACATGTGCTTCATCAACAAAGTATTTAGCAGTCTGTTCTCAAGTAATTCTTGAGAACTGGAACTAGCTGTTCCAGTTCTCAAGAACTACTATGTACTAGTTATTATGATGATGATGACACTTTATTACAGACTCAAGGTCCAAGGTAAAAAAACAAATAAAATAAATAAAAGCAATAAAAGAACAGTTTAAAAACGAAACAATAAAAACATAGCTAGGTTACAATGCTACCAACTAGATGTTACTTTACAATAAAGTCTTTACAGTTTCTTTAGTGTCATTAAACTTACCAAGAGCCTGATTTATTGGTTGTTCATTAATCCTCTTACATTACAGAATTCCATTAATTTCCATTATTTGTTACAGGCCCTGCTGAAACAGTCTGCAGCAATGGATTCGCCAAACTTTTCCATGCTGTCATCATTAAGAGGAGACTGTAAATCAGAGGATTACATCCAACCCCACTATAAGGAGTCATATCGCCTGGCCATTGATCGCCTGGTGAGTGACGGCAGAGACAGTTACCAGGACTTCCTTAAGGAAGAACGAACAGGGGCTTTCCTCTCTGAGGACGAACTTCTCTTCATCATTAAAAACGCAGAACAGCTCCCACTTCAAACTCAAGCAGAGGAAATCAATGGTTCACCTGACAACCAATCATCCTCAGGGACATACTGGCCCACACACTCGGATGTGGAAACACCGGATTTGGACTTAGGGTGGCCAGAGGTCATGCATGAAAAACTACAGACAAATATAGATCTGCTCTTTCACCCTCCAAGACCAAACAACCCTACTATCAAAGAGGTGATCCGGAAGCATATTCAGGATGCGAGACAGGTAATCTTCACTACCGGCAACAATCTGTTAAGACAGAAACAAAAAAAAAAACCCTCTCTTGTATGATGTTTGGCTTGATTAAGCCTTGTGTTTGCACAGCAAACTGAATTAGACATACTGCTTCTCCACTGTGATTAATCCGAGACCTGTGCTTTGCTAAAATATGTCATAAGTACATTTTCCCCTAAAGGCAGTTCCACAGACCTTGCTGCTCTTGATTTCCAGAGTCAAGGAGTGTCTGCTTGGGTTGATGCGGTCAGAATCTGGTTTTGCAACTTACGATAATGAGAGGAAAGTGTGGGAACCACTTCATTATACAGTCATATCCTCTCACAAAGTTAACGCCTGAGTTACTTCTCCAAATGCATCATTATGAATCATAATCTAGTTCTGTAGCTCCCTCCTGTAACAGCTACACTAAAACAGCAGTGCTACACTGGCTCTTACTAAACCAAATTAACAAAAAAAAAAAAGACTAGTATCTGTTCCCCAAAATTACAAATACGCACACTTGTCTGACCCCCCCCCCCATGCAGCCCTTGGTCTGTCTGATCACTGCATGGTCCATCTCATCCCAACTTACAGGCAGAAACTTAAAGCTGTGAAGTCAGAACTATAGGCCTGCTTTGACTTCACAGACTGGAGTGTATTCGAGGCTGAACCTACCTGGATGAACTCACTGACACTGTGACATCATACATCAGCTTTTGTGAGGACATGTGTGCTCACCAAGACCTTTTGCACATACAACAAGAAGCTCTAATTCACAGTAAAACTAAAGCAGCTTTGTCATGCCACAGAGGAAACCTACAGAAATGGGGACATGATCCTGTGCAGGCAGGCCAGGAACACACCACAAAGGGAGATCAGGGTAGCAAAGAGGAGCTTCTCCAAAAATCTGAAAAACCAGTTTTCAGCCAATGACCCCTTCGTCTGTGTGGAGAAGCCTGAAAAACATCATTGGCTACAGGGAAACCCCTGAACTCTTCCCCTCTGGAGGGCGCTACAGGTCACTGTACACCAAAACAACCAGACATAAGGACAGTTTCTTCCCCAATTTCTTTCACTGCAGCATCACTGAAATTAATAGAGAAACTGAGCAAAAAGGCTTTAACCCCATCCTCAAATCCTCACAATTCTTCCAGAAGTGAAAATTGATGTGCAAGAAATAAATATGTTGTATTAATTATAGATACAAAATAGTTTATCTCCATTCAGTAAACTCAAATTTGCTGCTCTCACTGCATAAACTTATGCTGCCTTCCATTTACAATTCACTTCGTCTTCACAGGTCATTGCCATTGTGATGGACACATTTACTGATGTGGATATATTCAAAGAAATTGTTGATGCCTCTATACGAGGAGTCCCAGTATATGTGCTTCTGGATCATTTTCATCTGAAACATTTCCTCAACATGGCTGAAAATCAAGATGTAAAAATTCACCAACTCAGGGTAAGTATACAGTTTAACAGATTTCATCAATTTAATAATTGATTGGATTATACATTACATTTACCCAATTTGTAGAAGTGCAAAGTAATTAAAAATGTTTTTCTGTGGTTGTTGCTGCTTTAAACACCTAGCATCATAAGACACTAACATCTCCAAAGAACATTCATTTTAAGGATAATTTTTGAAAATGCTCTTATTTGCTTTCTTGCAAATTCGATCAGACAACTAATACAACTCTCTTACCTTAACATGATTCCTGTCTCAACACTGTTTATTGTGGCCATTTTGCTTCTGTGCCGTGCTATACTATTTCCAGTCACCAAACTCTGCCTGCATTCCCAGTCACCTGACACAAGGCATATTCGCATTATTGCAGAAAATCCAGCGTTTTGTGCTGCAGGTGTTGTGCTGGTTGGTGCAGTAAACCTCCCAAGTAGCTGACAGCTAAAACAACAGTAGATCACTATGTTTCAGAGACACAAACTGTTTTATATAAACAATCATGATAGCTGAAATTGCATGCTAATATTTAGCCATTTGAATTTGCTGTCTATCTTTGTGTGGTCTGGATATGAGGATAGTTGTCATTGTACAGTTTGGGAAGTTCGAAAACACAAGTAGGCTAAGTAGTTTTTTGTCAGTGCAAGCTGTGGCCAACAGTAGACATACACTGTTTGCGATTTTATGGCAGACTCTGATTTTTTTAAGTCTAACCTGCTGATTTCGAGTTTCTTTCACGAGTCTGGCTGCCACCATACAGTGCTTCACTCCACCTCCTACTTGTGTCCACGCACTGACATAGGGCATATTCTGAAACTTAATATAACTTAAACAGGTGCCACGGATGTCCGCTCAGAGCTGGCACAATGCACTACACACAAAATAACGACAAAGTGCACTCTACGTTTGTTTCTCTACAACAATGCAAATACACCTTTGAACACCACAGATGCTGAAGAACGAACTGCTGCCTGTGCAGTGTCCCGGTTGGCACTGGTCTATTGTCTTGTACCAGATGTAGAGTTTCAGCTCTTGTTCTAATCTTATCAGGCTGTTTTTGATTTCTGCTGCTCCTTTTGCGCTTTTGTTGTCTCTGTGTCTGCTTACTTGCTTGTCTGTCACTGTCATTGCTAACATCAACGCACCTGCCTGCCTGTGTTAACCAAATCTGCCTAACAGCACCACTAGAGCTCTGGCACACAAAACCACAACTTGTATTTACACTGCAGGGTTTGTATACATTTAACAAACAAGGTATTACCGTGCATGGGTGTGCTTTAGAGCTAACCATCTATACTGTAGCTTCATATCTAACAACAAAGCACATGAATGGAATTCATCTTCAGTAAAAAAAAAAAAAAGTAAAAGCCTTTTTTCAAAACCTGTTTTGTCCTACTTATTTATCAGGTCCAATGGTACTAAAGATATAAACATGGCAATTACAGTACAACAACAACTAAGGGACTCAACAAATCCAACATATTGCAGATCTTCTGAATGGTCCTCATCTGCACAGTGCATCTGTTCTTCTCAGATGTTTATTTGATGATTGACATACTTTTATACGTTTTACATTCTGCTGTGAACGTTAACAGTGACAAATCTTTTCTGACATTTCACTGTTCTTGCTACAGAACATGAGGGTGCGCACAGTGAAAGGTCAAGATTACCTCTGTCGATCAGGAGCAAAATTTCATGGAGCGATGGAGCAGAGGTTCCTTCTAGTCGACTGCCACACAGCGATTTATGGCTCATACAGGTAAAAAACCGTAGAACAAGAGGAGCTGTGACTTAGACCACTGAGGTATATGTTAAATGTTTGTTTAACTGGATCTCCATTAGCTACTGTATTCAGTGGCTATTCTTCCTGGGGTCCTTTTACAAATATACATACATGCGACAACACTAATTACCCTCTTTACAGTACAAAACTAATATATTTGCATGACATAACACACTAACATTATATTTGACACACCCCGAACATTATACCAATATATTACACCCATAGCACACAATAACGTTAGCACTAAATGGTCACAGACAAACACAGAGATCAAAAAACAGATTTAAATGCCAAGTATATATACATATTTTCAAAGAAAAGCTATTTTATCTGAAAGTTCTTTCTCGTAAATACTTTTTTAGTTGAAAATTAGGACTAGAAGCACTATTTTCACTCGTAACTTATGTAGGTAATGTATTCCATTCACACCCTGCCCTGTATGAGGCATTTCGTTGAGTTAACTTAGTTCTTATTCAAAGCAATATGCACCGGTTTCCAGCCAATTGTCTAGTATATATACTGTATATAATCATGTACTCATAAACCAAAACACTACATGAACTGTCACTTACAACAAAATTGCTGTCTTCATTTCTTATTGTTTCTTTTGAAGCAGTTTGAGATTAAATGTTGTTTATGAATATGAAAAAAAAACAACGGTTCCTAGTAAATATAGCAACAACGAAAAATATTTGAGCTATATTTCAGTGTAAATATAAACAAAAAACAGCTCTTTGCTTAAAAACATCTCAATCCTGAAATGATCTTTTAAAATTATAATTATTTTTCTTTGTGTGTAGTTTTATGTCCTAATAGAAGACAAATTAACTTTAACCTCAACACATACAGTAATTCAGCATTTAAAGTGTTATACCACAAATTGTTCTCTACATGAAATAAATGAATATTTGTGTTTTTGTGTTTGTTTCCAGCTTTGCTTGGTCCTTTGAGAAGATCAATCTGAGTATGGTGCAGGTCATTACAGGTCATCTGGTGAAATCGTACGATGAGGAGTTTCGAATACTCTATGCCCGGTCAACTGCACCAGCTGAACTGTGCCCCCCGGAGGGTTTGTTCCAACACAATGGACCACAACAGATTTTACCAAAATCTCATTCTGCCCACAAAATCGAGCGGAGGGACCAGTTGAGGCACACACTAGACACAGTCTATCGGAAGACTTGTGAGAGGAACCTGGGCAGGAGAGACCTTGAAGAGAGACTGTTTGAAGAGGAGCGTCACAATCTCAGACCCTTTATTGAGAATGGTATCAATGCTCAGGACCGGATGTCACAGTTACAATCTACAGAAGCAATGAACTTCCTGAAAAGGCACAGCTACGCAGGGGAGAGACAAGATGGATATATGCCAGAGAATATCCCGGCCCGATCGAGCAATTGGAATATCTCCAGAGAAACAGGAAATGGAGCAAATAACTATCTGATGGACAATTGCTTACAAGTGCCACAGATGTACAGAGGTCAAAACCTGCGTCAGTCTTACAATGGCAATGACAAACAGGTTCTAAACATGCAGCAGAACATGCCAACACTAGAGAAAACAGCCAAGTCCTTCCTGCGCACATGGAGGATTGAGTCTTACCTCAAAAACTCTGACATCCCATTTGGAGACTCTTGTGACTATTTAGACCAGTTTGAACTGATGGACAGGGGGAGGATGAGGCCTTCCCCTGCTTTCAGGTCCCACATCCCAGAACAAATGGAGCCTAACAGACACATAAACAACACTTCCACAGGTATTGGCTCTTCAGCAGCACTTTTGCACTACTCATCAATGCAGTGGCATCCTACACAAGCCCCTGAGAATAGAATTAATCATGAGTTCATTTTAAAGCAGCAGAGTTTACAGACTTTGGACAGCAGTCATAATAATGCAAGCTGTGGTCCAGGGAGAAACTCTTACCACTCCACATATGCCAGCCTCGGCAGAGCTAAAGGTGGACAGATCATCACAAACCCTGACATCTTTGCAGACAGTTGGCACAAAAGGCATAGTGTGGCGGATTCGAGATCAAACATTGAGTACAAATATGAATCCTCAGGTCATGTGTATGGAGCGTTTAGAAAGATGCACAGCATAAACAGAAGCACAGCAGGGATCAGTGCACAGAATGGAGGATATGTGTCAAATCTGAATGAAGACCAGAGATCTGTCTCTCATCATGATGTCAAGAGTATCACAGGCACCAAGAGCTCCAATACTCCTAAATGGCAGGAGCCGCTGACCAGGACTGTGTCTGCAGCAGCGGTGGATGTGACAGCTAAACACAACAGTGTGGGCTCCCAGCACTCTCTAAAGAAGGCTTCCAACAAAATAAAATCTTTACTGAACATACCAGAGAGAAAAGAAGATTCGATGGGAAGTGTGGAAACATCGAGTCTCAAGTCAGGTGGTAGTACAGACACCTTAACAGCTGAGGATGAGGTGAAAACATCAGGTGGAAGTGGAAAATTTTATGAAAGCATGACTGACTCAGTCAGGTCCTTCTCAGAGCACAATGATCTAAACTCTTCAAAGCCTCGATTCAAGACTGAGGAGCAACAGCAGCCACCAGAGATATCTCGCCACAAAACTACCACAAAGAAGAAACCTGCCATTTTTGTCAAAACTGAAAAAACCAGCCTCGACACAGGAAGCTGGGTCAAAGATCGCGGTGCAGAGAATCGCATATACAGCAGATTTGAGCCGTTCCATTCATTGGAAAAGAAACACTTTCTGCGCTCTACACAAAGCTTTGGAAACACACAGTCTCAAGAGAAAAGCAAAGGGCTTCCTAAAGTGGAGGCAGCTACTGAGCACAGCCCCGCTCGGCCTGCACGAGGGCACCATGAAAATAAGCTGGAAAAATTCTTTCAAAGAATGGGAAATCTCATACACAAGAACAAGTAATGACACCTGTATTAGCATACACAGTCTATATGGGTCACTTGTTATTAATGTTTATATCTGTATAGTTGGTCTTTATTTCTTTGTTTACTTTGGAAAACGTGTTTAGAAAACACTGTTTACATTTGCAGTACAGATGCACTAATGCATACCGTTGAAAGGAGAATACATTTTTATATGAATACGTGCTCCATGCTTTTATATGATATAATATAGAAAGACATTTTTATATAGCATTTTGTTTTCACATCTGTTCTCAACTGGCATTAACTTAGGCAATAAATCCAAATCCTGTGGATACAAAGTACTGTAGTAGTTGTGTGAAAATGCCTGATATGTATACAATTTATTGTTGCAAGTGTGTGTGTGTGTGTGTGTGTGTGTGTGTGTGTACAAACCATATATTCAAAGTAGGGATGGGTACCGAAACCCGGTGATAATATGTCACTGGTTCCTATACAATCGGTATCTATAGGACCGAAGCACAATGCAGATTTTGGTGCCTCATTTCAGTGCCACTTAAATGCACTTGAACTATTTACCCTCCGATGCTGTGAAATAGACAATACAGGCAACAGAAGCGTTACTGCACGTGCGAACGCCATCATTACACTTATTCACCCTTTAACGTTGCTTGGTAACATCAACATTTTACGAACCGCTTGTTGGTGAACTTCTGCTGTGTGCTATTTTTTTTTAGCTCAGAGTGTGCATCAATTAAGCTAGTGGTGCTGCAATAAGGTTTCCTTTACTTTTACTGGATACCAGCACTGTTTTAAAAGTATTGTTTTAGCACCACTATGAGAAAAAAAAAAATCCAAATGATAACCAAACCTAATTCAGAGTGTTATCAGCATGTCAAAGTGAAGATATTGACATCAGCATGTAAGCTAACCACCACTCCATATGATGAAAAACGTATCACAATGTCACCACATACTTGTCATTTACTGTACAGTATGTGTCGAACAGACTGCTGGGTGGAAATAATTGTGTAAAAGACCACATCTTTTATTAAGCCTCTTTCAAAAGGGCTTCCTCTTTGAAAGACGTCACTCATCTAAGGGACATTGTGCCTCAAGGCAAAATTCAGCCTTAAGTGTAATGAAAAATGCAGTACAATGGCAACTCAGGGACGACTCAAGGATTTTATGTTTCATAAGAGGCTTCCATCCTTTTACTCAAAGTGAAGGGCTTGTGCTTAAAGTGGAAAGCAACGTGGTCTCTAGTCTAAAAGATGTACATGACCAGTGGAAGAATACATCTCTGTAATTCTTATTATATGAATATTCATTCATTATGCTTACTGTAAGTGCTTATTGCAATAGATTCAGTGAAATTTTAAACTTATTTTATTTATTTTGATGTTGCTTGCCATCTAGTCCCACACTGGTTCTCTTTCTCGGTGACATGTATCTCCTTTTAGGCACAGAACTTTCCACACTTAGTGTACTTTCTGCTGATAAAATGATTATGAAAATGATGATTAGTTTGTTTTTGTGCCTGCCATCTATGGGGGAGCTATGCAAATGACATGCTTATTTTCAATAGAGCTCAGCCTAAAAGTTCATAAATGAGAAATGGAACTGACTCAGACAGTTTGCTCCATAAATGGGAGCAATTTGTCACTCTAGCACTTAGAGGAAAGAATTTGAAAGGTCTTAGTCAACTTTAACTTCTATTGACCAATCACAGTTTGACTGCATTTCCTGGCATTTGACAGAATGGAGACATCTAAAATGGGTTGATTGTTGAAATAGAAAAAATACAACATACAAACATAGAAAAATACCTGCAAAGAGGAATCAGCACTACTGTAAGCTTTTACTGGCAACGTTCTGATCCAGTACAAGTCATCCAGGCAATTTAATATTTAAGCAACATAAAGGGATGGTGAGAGGAGGTAATCTAAATAGGCTAAAGACGGAAAATGGAACTTTTTGCTTGATGTGTATGACTTCTAGGCTTCCTCTGAAAAAAGCTTAACGATATATAAACTGAAAACATAAGAGCATGAGCTTACCTTGAAGTCCAATACACTGGAGTCTTTCAAAAATAATTAAATGTTCAAAACCTGCCATCTGTGAGGCTCTACTTAGTCACAGCAGGCATGAATTTAAATGGCTCAGAGAATGACAGTGATTTAAGAGTGTTACTTTCCTTGTAATTAGTTTCTGAGTAAACAGATAAAGACTGTTGTTCAGGATCCCTTAAAGCATTTTACCACCAAGTAATGGGTCAAAGAAACAAACACTGTTATTAATATAAAATTAAACATCAGATAAATAACAACAAGAAGGGTCACTTGGTAAAAATACTTTTGTAATTCATTACATCACTGATATTGAAAAGGGAGTAAAATTAAGGAGTGAATAATATTTATTTACTCCTTATGTCCAGATGACTCAGTCAGCACTAAAAACAATATGCTGGTGTTATCCAGTTTGATAGCCCTGTGTCTTTTTTTCCATGTGAATTAAGATTTGTCGATATGTCCTGGATGTCTAGACCTTTTCTTTTCTTATTTCTCAACATAAAAGGCCAAACTCTTCCTGCCTCAAATGCAGTTCAACCATAATGGACATTTGACGGAAGACGTTATGGTTTCCATCTATTAAAATGAAAAATAACGTGCCATTTTTAGACTAAATATCTTGTCAACAAGCCTTAATGCTTACTATGTTTGGATTTTATGTAAAAAAGACAAATCTCCTGGTCTCTACATGTTTCAGAACATTTAGCAGTGGAGATTAGTCTGACAACACCAATAATAGAGGGTTTACCTCATTTTACAGTAATGTGTGATAAGTCTACTAAGTTTAATGATATGAATCAATTTAAACATTATATGAAGTCCAAAATTCATAATAGAAAACCATTTGAGGATAGGCTTTTAATCTCGCAAACTACAAGCTTTCTTTGCTCTGATTCTCCCCATTAACAATTTTCAGCTTCTTCCACAGTTGATCCAATCTGTCATTTTTCACACAGCATATTTGGAAGTTTTATATTACAGAGGCCACAAATGTAGCTCATAAAAGTTACAGATGAGACCCGAAGTGTGTCAGAACACATGTACAACTGTTTTATCAATGGAGCACTTGAGCAAATACTATATTTTACTGGTTATACTGGCCCTTTGGAGGTACTTTATTGGTACAAAAGTAATCAATGGTTGAGAATCTTAAAAAAAAACAACCAAGAGTTATATAATGGTTCTGTAAATAAAGTATTCATACCCCTTTGCCTTTTCCACATTTTCCTACTTTGTGAAATTATTTTTGAAATATATATTTTAAAAAATTGCAATTTACAGTATATTATAATGTGCAAAAGGTGAAGGGGGTGGGAATAGTTTCTGAAGCATCTGTATCTATGTATGTGGAATTCACAATACTTATGGGCTTGACCTATTTTGACAGTTGCATGAACTATTGTGCATGTAATGATGTGAACAGTGAAACAGTTCTTAAATGGCTACACCATGGGATAGTCACATTTCCATACAATGCATTTAGTGTGCTAGATTACAATAGGTCATGATGTAGATGGATGGTATGCCTGACAACTGTCCCCAGACAACTATGTGAGCTTGCACAGCTCACTGGGACTAATGACTAATGGCTAAACTCAGCTGCATCCGACTGTATAATTACTGGCTGTACTGGAATGAGTCTACCTTTTATTCTAATCATTTTATTCAGGAGTTTCTGATGTCAAAGCACAAATGAATGTAACTGTATCATGAATATATGGAACAAAAGTCCTGCAGGCATATACTATGTTCAATTTTAGTTGGTGAGATAAATACAGTTTTATGTCAGAGCCTGTTTGAAGTGCCCGGGACTGCATGGAAACGAGCCACTGTAAGGAGCAGATCTTGCTAAAAAAAAGTTACTGAGGAGTAATTAATGCGAGTTTCTAGTTGTACAAGGCAGCCATTTTTTTTAATCAAAAGCAGACACTAAAAGACACTAAAGTGAATATAACATTTACTGTATGTACCTTCACACAGAAAAACCATGTGAACAGTCTTAAACTTTATAATTTCTTCTATAAAGGCTCCTGTGTAGGAGGCATTGTCTCTTCCCTGACAGTCAAGGCATGCAGTGATGAGATAATTTAGAGGTCCGATCAGATACAACTAAATCAAGCTTAAGAAAAGGAAGCAAGAAAGTTAAACCGGAACACTGATGTAGTGAGGATTCCAAGAATGAAAAGCACTGGATTCAGGCTTAGATCAGTACTTAGAACAGACTTGATCTTTTTTTTTGGAGATGCAATTTCAGAATATAAATAATCTAATTTGTCTTTTTACTCTGTCTTTGTGAAGTACTATGAACAGTTTCAAACAGTTACAAATATTTTCCCATTCTTTATGTTTTTGCCCTACAATCCTCGGTAAGGAAAAATATGTTTTTTCATAATTTGGGGGGAATTCTTATCAGGAAAACTATTCAGTAATTGTCCCTAAAGTTAGTGTGGACAGCTCAATCTTGTCAGGTGTCTAAAAGAAGATGAAAGTCAGGATAGAAAAATCTACAGAAACAAAAGTCTGGATCAGGTCTTCCCATATTGTGTCATGGAACTGTGTACTGTAAATAAATAAATCTTTAAATTTGCTGATTTTATTTTAATTTATGCAGCTTTAATCATGACTTCACAGCTGCCTTCAACCATGCCTGCAGTATACTTTATTTAGCTTTAGAACAAACCTCTCATTTCATCTCCAGTCTGTATGTGAGCTGGGAACCTTTCCTGTATTGTGTCTGGCAAATCTGTTTTACCAGAGGCTTGTTTCCTAATAGGTTTGACTTTGTTGTTGTTGCTGTGATGTGAGTATAACTTAAAGGAACAAAATAAATGCAGAATAAGAATCCAATTTCATTTCTGCTCCTGTGGCAATGCCTCCAATACAGGATATAGGCTAACAAAGAGTTGCTACCCCAGTGATTTATCATAAATTCGGATTAATTGGACAGACAGACAGAACCCACACTGGCATTTGTGCAGTTTTCGTCTTCCTGCAGGTTTTCACCACATCTAAGGCCACTTTTCTCACACACGCACTGTTCTCATCAGTAACATAATATGCACAGAACTGCTGCACCAAAAGACCCCACCCACCGCAGCCTTCTTTGGAGGGTGGGTTGGTGAAGTAGGTCATAGCTGGCTTCAGATGTTGGTGGTTGACCCTGCTGTCTGAGGCGAAATCGGCGCCACACTTGACGAGGTCGGTGGGGCGTCTAATTATCGCGCTCAAGTGCCGTCTGCGTGTGAGCAGTCTGCTCAACGACCTGTGGTCACTGCAGACCCACTTTTAACAGAATACTAGACACACTGAAATACCTCGAAGGATGTCTGGGAACACTGGGAATATGGATTGCGAGAGTTGTTCATCTTCTACACATGGAACCAACAAAACGGAGTTACATCTGCACTCATCATCTGCTGATGAGGACGACGAACTTCTGAGATACATCTGGACGGAGTACTTACACCCCAAGCAGTATGAATGGGTTCTCATAGTAGCTTACATTGTTGTTTTCTTCGTTTCACTCATTGGAAACTCGCTGGGTAAGTGGCACATTTGATTGGATATACTTTTCCCATTCACACAATCAGTTTTTTTTTATTACACACAGTATCTCATTCAGTGGAAGTGGGTCAGGGTTAAGGTTAAGCCAATTAAAACGAATGCAACAGGTGCAACAGGTTTTCCTTTTATGTTCAGAGGAATTGCAGCGGTGCGTCTGTTGGTGGAGAAGGACCGAGGAGGATGCGTAACAGTGCGCGTCTCACTGCAGCGAAGCGCAGCTCGAAATCATCAAAATCGGACATCCTCGGACGTGTGTGAAGATACAGATTGTAGGGGGCGTGTACGCGCACATAACATTTCTGAAAAAAGCTTTCCCCATTCTCGTTCATCATTTTTCCTTATTGGTCTGTTTCGCCGCTTCGTATATTTTTATGACTCATATTTAGATTCAGAATATGAGGAAAATGCCGTGCAACTGTTGTTATAATTATTTTTCTCTTACTTGGACAAGAAAGTCGTACTTCTCATTTGTATTTTGACTCTCAGTGGCTTTTTCTGCAGCTTTGTGCCATTTATCTGTATTTATTCTATTTATCTCTATTTAAGCGTGTTTATCTTAACTGGGACTGTTCTCAGGATCAATAACATGACATTGTGCACACGATTGCAGCGACAGCAAACCCAAACGGAGCAGATTTCTCTCTACAAACTACGGAATCATGAACTGTGAAATGAGCTGTGTAGAGTGAATCATTTCATGATCTCTTTCAATTCGCAACTACACCTGCAGAATTGTTCCTCAGATTGAGACTGAAGAGGTGTAATACACGTTGGAATACATAAAAAGCTCATTGAACCATGTCCATAAGAAAAGCAGTTTAAATCAGTGTTATTCTCATACAGTCAATTATAGAGTAGTCTCTCAATACCACACCATTCTTCCCTTATTTTATCTCACACCAGTTTAATGAGCCTTTTTATCAAACCTAATATAACCATAATGTCACTATAGTTCAAGTTCAAAGTGTTTGTCTTATATGCACAGTTAGGAAACTTGTTTCCTTGTACAATGAAATTCTTTCTTTGCCGTCCACATGAATGCCACAAAAATACAAATGAAATATGAAGTAGATAAATAACAAAATCTAAGGCACTTTAAGCAGCAAATGCAGCAATATAATAAAAGAATATAATAGAGAATGTATGCTGCATGGGAGCAGCATGTGCAGCAGTCAACAGCCAATGTGCAATTATGCATGTGCAAACAGAATGTAAACAATACATGACGTATTTCCTGGTAATAAACTCCTCGGGCGTTTAGGAGTCTGATGGCAGAGGGAAACAGAGTTTTTCAGTCTGGAGGTCCTGCATTTCACACTTCTGAACCTCTGGCCAGAGGGTAGGAAGGTGAACAGTTTGTGCTGGGGCTGGGTGGGATCTTTGAGGATGGAGGCAGCTTTCCTACACAGCCTGTGGTGGTAAATGCTCTGCAGAGAGGGCAGTGGGGTCCTGGTGATCTTCTCCACAGTCTTTACCACTCTCTGCAGGCGCTTGTGGGCCATA